TCCAATCAGGTAAGGTAATCAATACCACCTAGTCTACCATTCCTTTCGAGACTTAAAGGGGAGTATAGACCCAACACGCGATGGTAATAGTAATAAAAAATAAAAATAAAAAAGTGTTCCTTATGCGTGTTCAGAGTTTGAAATGTGTAGATTAGATTCATTATACGTGTATCTCACACCACACCATAGATTTAGTTTTCTTTTTCTTTCTATTTTCCCAATTATACCTTTTAGTTGCTGCCTTAAAAGGATAATAAATTGGATTTGTGTAGTCGAAAAAGGGCGTTTCAGGGGCGAAAATTCAAAACAGCCCTCGAACCACTGTGTGACTCTCATGTATAGCTTTCCCATGACAAATAGGATTTGTGACAACTGACGAAATGTAATTCTGATCTGTAGGTAGGGAGTTAGAGCCGAATACGCCCTATAGTCAAAAAAGGGCATCCCGGGGGTAAAAATTCAAAACAGCCCCCGAACCACCATGTGGCTCTCACGGATGCTTTCCCATTACAAATAGAACCTGTGACAACTGACAGAATGTAATTCGGGCCCATAGGTTGGGAGTTAGAGCCGAATACGCCCTAAACTTACTCAAAAAAGGGCTTTTCGAGGGCAAAAATTCATAACAGCCCCCGAATACGCCTTATGCTTAGTCGAAAAACTTGCAACACTTAGTTAAAAAAGCAACAACTTTATTAAAATAGCATCTACATATTCTAATAATTGCCTTTATATATTTATAGGACGAAGAAATTACATATTACATTGTTTGTGCAGTTGGTTGGAATAAATATTGCATGATACATATATATATACACTTTATTTATTTCCAAGAAGACATTTCTTGATTGTTCTACCTTAAATGCATGTTAGAACATGTTCCATATGGCTGACTGAATTGATATTTTGTAACCAATTCTAATGTTTCGTTTTTTGTTTTTCTTTGTAGATGGTTTTGTTGCGTGGACTTGTGGATAATCCATATTGGTGTATGGAGAAGAATTTTCACAATCAACAGATAATGACTGTTGTGGTACATAGATCACCTTCTATCATGGTACATATATATCATTTGTCGGCGTACATATAGGACGTTTTGTCATGGTCCATAGAAAACTTTTGTCGTGGTACATATATCACCTTTTGTTGTGGTACAGATTACGATGGTAATTTGTACCATGCCAAATGGTAATTTCGCTTGGTAGTAAATGTATTTTTTTGTATACGGAGGGCTTTGATTTTTGTATGACATATTTTGTATGGAATTATTATTTTAGTTTGGGCAATAGTTGATTTGTATGGACTTTGATATGTAATGTAATTTATTTTTGGTATATGGATGCAGATTGTGGAATGATTGATTGTATATATCATTTTGTTTTTATACGTATTACAGGTTGCATTGTATATAGACAGGTTGTGGAGAAATTATAATTTCGCGATAAAACATAATATCATGTTTTTGGCGAGTAAACAATTAGTAGCTGAAAAGAAATTGGGAAAAGTCATTTGGCGACTAAAAGTTTTGTAGCTGAAAAAAAAAGAAGAAGACATTTGGTGACTAAAAGTTTTGTAGCCAAAAAAGAAGAAGAAGACATTTAACGACTAAAAGTTTAGTAGCCCAAAAAAAAAATAGACATTTGGCGATTAAAATTTTAGTATCCAAAAGAAAATCAAACATTTGGCGACTAAAATATTTTGTAGCTAAAAACAAAAAACTAAATTATAAACACACTTTTGCCGACTAAAATTTTAGTAGCCAAAAATGTAGAACTTTAGGCGATCAAATATTTAGTAGCCAAAAGAGAAATTCTTTGCCGACTAAACATTTAGTAGCCAAAGATGGGGACTTTCGGCGACTAAAATTTTAGTAGCTAAAAAGGTGGGACTTTAGGCAACTAAAAGTTTGGTCACCGAAAAAGGCCTAATTTAATTTAAAGTCCAACCTTTTGGCGACTAAATATTTAGTCGGCAAACTATTACATTTGGCGACTAAAATAATTTTAGTCGCCAATTAGCATTCCCGACCACTTTTTGGCTACTAGTTTTGCGACCAAAAAATTTGATCGCTAAAGTCCTTTGGCGACTAATAATTGACTTTTGGCGACTAAAAATTTAGTCGCCAAAAGTGAAAATTCTTGTAGTGATAGCTGCCATTAAAATGCTTGTCAAGCATGGTTTACTTATCACTGAACAACTGAAGAAATGTAATGCAAATGGAGAAATTGCTTTGCATGAAGCTGCGCGGTTTGGTCACAAGGATGTGGCAGAAACAATGCTGGAGAAAGAAGGGGATTTAATCAATGTGCGCAATGAGTTGGGAGAGACGCCCATTTATGTTGCTGCTGCATTTGGCAATAGGGATGTTTTTTATTTTTTTTCAAAAATAAGTAATGATGAGTGGTTGATGGGATTGAGGAGAAGAGATGGTTGCACTGTTCTTCATGCTGTTGTGAAAGGAGAATATTATCGTATGTTAATTTTTGTATCCATTTTTTCATTCTTTAACTTCAATTCAAAGTCACAAGGTTAGTCCACAATCTTTATATATATTTGGGATCGAGATACCCGAATCATTTTAGAGCGCTCAAGCCAAAAATCTGATTTTAAATTTTGTTTGATATGAGCTCTCCAAGCACTGAACTAGTTTGCTCATAAGAACAAGTTTAAGTTCAATGACCAAAATAGCCTATCTTTCTCTCTTTATATATATATAATATATTATACATTGCCAAAAAATCAAAACCGATCCTCTCTCTCTCTCTCTCTCTCTCTCTCTCTCTTCGCCTTTAATGTCGTCGCCTCTTCCGACACGACCGATGAGCGCCGTTACGACTCCATTGTCGATCACTACAACCTTACCTACCTCCGCCTCCCATTTCTCTCTCTCTTCCTCTCACCGCCACAACGTCGTAGCAGATTGTCGCCATGTGCGGCGCAATCGAGTCGCCACCTCACCGGACTCTTCAATCCTCTACAGGCTGGATCGACTCAGTCGATTTCGAGCTCACTTCTAGGGTTTTCAACCTCCTCTCTCCAAATGGTCTCTTGATGTCTTCGATTTCAACTGTCGATTGTCTTTCCTTGATGAAGTACGTGTTTTTAATTTAGCAATTGCCTGAGTGGGTTAGGTTTTTGCTTCAAAATGAGCGAGACTCCCATCGTCACCACGGCGGAGCTACGGATCTAGATCTCTTCATCACCATCATTGATATATATATATATATATATATAGATATACATGTTTGTTTGATATCTCTTTATCTCTCTCTCTATATCTGAGTTTTGTAATAATTGTTGTGTTGTTGTTATTGTTATCAGCAGTGCTGTAGAGCTCTAATTAGAGCTGCACTGCAGCAGCTCTAATGATCTGGCGCAAATTAAAAAAAAAAAAAAACCAAAAACAAAAACAAACAGTGAGGTAAAAGACAAAATATGAAGAAGAAAAAGACAAATTAATGCTCCATTAGAACTCTCTTTTTAGAGGTCTAACTCATTTTTCAATTGTTATTGTTAATGTTGATGATGATGGCGAAACTTAGCAATAGACTAGTTTTTTTTTTCTTTTTCCTTTCTCTTTTTAGTTTCCTTTTATTTTCTTCTTCATTTTATGGATAAAGTGAGAAAGATTAGATAATAATAATAAAAAAAATATATGACTTGATCTTATTTAATTTCCTTATACTTTCTTCTTAATAATAATAATTAAGGAATAAAATTAGAAATAAAATGTGTGGGATTGTTTTGATAACAAAAAATAAAAAAAGTGTGGACTTTTTTAGAAAGTGAGGACCTTCCACCCAAAAAAATAAAAAAATAAAAAAATAAACAATACTGAACCTAATGCCTCACACAATTGGTAGAGTGAATTTTTTTTATCAATTTTCTCATTGTTTTAACATCATCTAACAATTAATATTTATATATATACAATTTAAATTTTTAGTTGTTGGGATTGTTTTGATATCTCTACTCAAATTTAGTTGTTCGTTTAGCAATAGGTTTTTTTAGTTAATTTTTTGACTATTTGACTATTGTAGCTTGGATTAAAAGTTTGTTTAGTTTGTTTTTTTTTTTTATTTTTGTTAAAAAAAATAAAATGATTATAGTTTAGATGTAATATTTTATTTTATTAACTTATTTAATTTATTTTTTCTTTTGTACTTTTTTTAGCAAAAAAATTAATTGCCAAAGAAAACTTTAGACCTTGTTTGTCATCCTCTCAAAAAGTCAAAAAGTCACTATCTTATTTAAGGCCTAGTTTGGGAAGACTAAATAAGTGCACTTTTTGACTTTTTTTGTATAGTTTAGATGTAATATTTTATTTTATTAACTTATTTAATTTATTTTTTCTTTTGTACTTTTTTTAGCAAAAAAATTAATTGCCAAAGAAAACTTTAGACCTTGTTTGTCATCCCCTCAAAAAGTCAAAAAATCACTATATTATTTAAGTTACATCACTTTTCTACCGCATCACTTCAAACCCAACCCATATCCAATTACTATTTCATAAAAAAATAAAAAACTACACTTATTTTCAACATCCCAAACAATGCCTGATCCGCGTTTTGAAATTTCTACCTACCGGTCTAAAAAAGGGTGATTTACGGACTATCCTCATAGATCGGACTTAATAGGTAATTAATTAGTCAGCAATGTTAGGTATCATGAAAAACCTTTTAGGAAAATAATCATGAAAACTTTGTGACCCTTGGATAACACTTAGAATAAAGCACCACACACTAATCAAGTAATCCAATAATCCAATGATCATAAATCTTTTATGATCATTTTCAAAAAAAAAAATTCCATAATCCCTAACTTTTCTCTTAATTAGTGCGGCTCTAAATTAATAGATCACGTTTTTAGTTTTATCCTTACAATCCAACTCGCTAACAAACTCACCACTTTTTAATCGATTTTCAAAACGTGACCACATGGAAAGTGTAGGAGAGGGTTCGAGAAAGGAGTTGAAAAATTCGAAGATCTTCAAGTTTTAATCGATTTTCAAAACGTGACCACATGGAAAGCAAACGACATCTTGAACGATCTATCATCATCTTGTCGGCAATTTGAGAAAATAAGACAATTATTTATTTATTTTAGGGGTATCAGGATAACAATGTTGGTTGTTTGAGTAGTGCTTGGAATGTGTTCGATGAAATGTACAAGTGAAGAATTTGATCATGTAGGTGTTTGGTTAAAAGACAATATGGTGAGAGTTTTTAAAGTAAAACCAAATGCTTTTAGGGCTATATAATGTGAATGATTTGAGTTTGGTTGTTAAGCTTGAAGATGAGATGTTGAAACCTATAATTAGTTCACTTTTCAAGGTCAGTTGCAAGGAAGATGCTATTGGATCTTTAGAGGAAATGCTAGAAAAAGGGTATAATCCTGATTGTATAGTTATTTTATTGTGCAATGATATGTGGGTTTTGCTATGCTGTTTAAAGTGCGATGACAGAGAAGAGGTGTAAATCAGATGTTATTAGACCTAGTTATAATGTACTTACTGGAGTTTTTTGCAGGGAGAGAAAATTGATGGAAACAAATGAATAATTTGGAGATACGCCGAGACAGAATTGTGCTTCTGATGTGATGAAATTGTTGGACATTATTTGATCGGCTATGTTGCATTTATTTTAGATGAGATGGTTTTCAAAGGTTATGCCATTATTCTGCACGTATAATAAAATTTGTTGATGAGTTGTATTGAGGTGGTAATCTAAAGTTACGGACAGTTCTAAATAGTTTTGTAGAAGGAAATTTAATTGATGTAGTAGAGTGTTGGTTCCCATGGCATACAATACAAGAATAATAAGCTTTTAAATGCCTTTTAGCTTGTAGAAACCTTGCCAATGCCATAAGTGATGCTCTTCCAATCAGGTAAGGTAATCAACCATTCCTAGTCTACCATTCCTTTCGAGACTTAAAGGGGAGTATAGACCCAACACGCGATGGTAATAGTAATAAAAAATAAAAATAAAAAAGTGTTCCTTATGCGTGTTCAGAGTTTGAAATGTGTAGATTAGATTCATTATACGTGTATCTCACACCACACCAAATTTAAATCTACACTATGGATTTAAATTCTTGACATTTTGCTGAATATTTTATTTGAATACATAACATTTCTGATGCCTATTATTGTTGCTTTACACTTAGGTCACATTACGAGCAACCTGTGTATAAAATCTAATTAAAAGTTTCTAATTGGGTTTATTGAACATGTAGCATATATGACAAGGCCTGCATAATGTGACTGCTATCTTGGTCGTTTTGTGTGGAGTAAAGTCCACTCCATTTTTAGAACAAGCTAATGATTTTTATTTTGATATGAATTTTGTGAACCAGGTTTGGCTGTGAACATATTGGAATCATACCCTAAACTTCCTGACAAACGTGACGAAAAGGGTCTAAAAGCTTTAGATCTGTTGGCCTCAAAACCATTGTCCTTTAGAAGTGGATCATCATATACGCTTAAAAATCTAGGCTCCATGCCTTTCATTCCCTACTAGATTTTGGGAGTTTTAGTCTATAGTTGTAAGTCCCATATAGTATGAACTATGAACAATAGGATCTCTATTGCTTCCCATTTTCTTTCTTGCAATTTTATAGGAAAACTTAGGTTAAATTACACTTATCACTCTTGAGGTATGGAGAAAATTTAATAGCTCTATTGGGTTTCATTTTCAAAATCTGTTTTTTGAAAATTTCAAATAAATAAAAAATATAAAATAGTTCAACTAGTTTGGTGAAAAAATGAAAAACACCCATTTTCATATTATTTTATTTTTTTTTATTATTATTTTTTTTTGGGGGGGGTGGGGAACAAAAAACATCTTTTGGTATTCATTTTCATCAAACTAGTTTCTATTTTTTTTTTTTTTTTGAAAAAGAAATTCAGAAAACAGACTTTGAAAACCAAACCTAACAGAGCAAGTCTTACAATTTCAAAATAATGATACTATTACTAACCTCCTCTACAATAACAGAAAAAGTTAATTGATTATGGAGGATGTAAAATTACACTTTTAGCCTTCTGTAAAAGTTGATATCCTCTTAAGTTATGATACATATTTTTTTTTGGGTCAGAAAACTATAATGTTGTTCAAGTTTTATTAACATAGTTACGGACTTGGAAAGAATTAAGCAATGAACAAGTGCATTGTCATATAAATATGGTCTGCATAACTTTAATGAAATCATCAACTAAAAATTCAATCAGATCATAATGCAATGATTTCACCCAGAATTGATCCTTACTATAACACCTTTTGGCTCAATGTCTTTGAAAATACACATGTGTTCTTATTTATTTTATTTGTTGTATATACTTAAATTATTTCTGCTAATGGTTAAACAGAAGTCTAATGGACTACTTCTAAATACTTATGTTCTAAATCTCAACACTATGATTCTAGAGATGGTTACTTTAGTAACCGGTTCAAAATTTCAAATTGATTACAACAATTATTAAAATTTTGAATTGAACGAACATCTTTGATGACTTTATTTGTTTTTGTTGTTGAGCAGGTATTCCATCCATGGTTATTGATTCGGAAATTGTTGGTGATGTGGAGGACCTGCGTGGTAGTGCACATGATATCTCCAAATCAGACGGGACTTTGTTATCCAAATTAATGTCAGGTATTATTTTATTTTTATGCAGTAAATTTTATAGAGAAAAAAATAATGCAGATGTAATTTTTTTCAGCATATAATTCCCCTCACCCCAAAAAGAAAAATGAAAAAATTATTCTTTTGAGTGTGTGTATGGTGGATTTGACCCGTGCAAGGTAAGTGTTCAGTAATTGTATTGAATACAATTATCTTTACTCTAAAAAAAATAAAAAGTCAACTTTCCCTTTCATCTTATTGATTATTCTACACTGGCATTTTGTTACAGGGTACAGAAGGATCATCAGAGGTTTGTTGCTCTTACTCTTCAACTGTGAGTTGTTCGCAGTTTTTGGAATATAGTTAAATCTGAAATTTTTGGGTGCTTCATAAGTCGCTTGTACACACAAGAATTCACGATTCATGTGATTCTCTTTAAAATTATGGCTGTGGTTCTATTATTACAGGAAAGAGTTACAAACAAAATATAAAGATGGTATAGTATTAGACTTACGGCCACAAGTGCAAAAATATCAAAATATCTGTACTCCAAAATTCAGATAGTTAGTCTTCAGTACTCAAGAATTACGCTACTCAACAATATGAACCATTGCTAACTTTGCTTTCTGTTATTTCTTCTTTGTCATCAGTCCCAACTAGAAATTGAAGAAAATTCACGAGAAAATTGATAGTATGCCTAGCTTATCACTATACTAAATATGAAGTAATTAATTTTTTTTAGGGCAAATTACAAACACCCCCTTCGAGGTTTGGTGAAAATACAGATTCCCCCCTGAGGTTTGAGAAATTACATCTCATCTCCTAAGGTTTATATTTCCATAACAAATTGCCCCCTGAGGTTTTTATTTTCATATAGATTCCCTCCTAATTTCCCCTAATTTGTTATGAAAATTTGACCCTCAGGGGGCAATTTGTAATTTCTCAAATCTTAGGGGGGAATTTGTATTTTCACCAAACCTCGAGGGGGGTGTTTGTAATTTGCCCTTTTTTTAATGCTTCTGACTCTTGTTTGTTTTTTTTTTTTTTTTTTTTTTTTTCATGAAGTTTTTCCGTGGATTAAACGAATTGATGATGCAAGGCAAAAGCATGTGTTTGCAAGAGAGCTGGCAAAAAAACTGATAGAAGAAGAAAATGGTTGGACTGATTACCTAAATTGCGAAAATTTTCATGTTTCTGGATTGGGCTGCTTTGGAGAAACTTCGTCATAGAATAAGAAGAATAGAGTGGTAGACCCACTTATCCTAGCAACAAAGCACGGCATCCATGAGATGGTAGAGGAAATCCTTGAAAAATTCCCTAATGTTGCAACTACATTTGATGAGAATGGAAGAAATATATTGCACATGGCAGCACAGTTGAAGGATATAATTCTCTATGACTAGTTGAAGAAGGCTGTTAATCACGCAGATAGGATGATGGCCGATGTTAATAAACATGGGAACACCATCTTGCATCTTACAGCCTATGAGTGCAAGTAGGGTCATTTTCTCGCAACTCATTTTGGACCTATAAACCGAATGTCGTGGGATGTGTTTTGGTTCAAGGTACATATCAAATCAGATGTGTACATGGGAGTAGTTGGTAAAAAAATTGGTAAATCAATTCCCTTATAATATTGTCTTCTCACTCGATACTTTTGAATTTCTACAGCGTGTACAGAATGACTCTCATCCACATTTGATATATCATCGAAACATTGAGGGTAAGACACCAAAAGAACTATTTGAGGAAGAGCACAAGGACATGATAAATAAAGCTGAGAAAGTAGTCAAAGATATTAATAGCTGCTTGATGCTTGTTTCTACTCTAATAGGCACGGTCAATTATGCAGCACTTTTTACTATCCCTGGTGGTTTCGATCAAGACAAGGGCCTGCCAATTTTTTTCACAAAAGCAAAAAATGGACGAGAGGATCTGCAGTTGTTCATGGTTTATGTAGGAGGAAGTCTGGTTGCTTCTTTATTGGGTTTGGGAACTCAGCTTTCAATACAAGTGTCACGGTTCAACAGTAATGATTTTTACATTTCATTGCCGTTGAAATTTCTTTGTACAATCACGTCCTTGTTCTATGCTGCAGCCTTCTCAATCACAGCATGCTTCCAAATCTTCATCATTTAGGGTGCCTGCATAAATTCATATTTTGCGGTGATGGTGCTTGCCTGTATATTTATGACCATTGTTTACACGGACGCATTATACTTGACCTATGATTACTTGTACTACGTAATTCGTTATTCGCTTGCTTATAGAGGCCAGAAAATGTAAGTCTGCAGCTGGGTTGGTACCTGTTTTAAGATCATGTTTGTGTTTGTGTGCAATTTAAGTGTGACTATACATGTGAGACAGATATATGTATTGGAAAAGAACTGTTGAAGGAGAGTTTCTCAAGTATTGCTAAGACATGCTATAAATACAGTTAATTTTGTATTCAAATAATGCACGGCTATAGATCTTGTTGGCATGCTTTAGATGTGGAATGTGTATGGTTCACGAGCTCTAGTTTGTTATAAATGGTAATGGTTTTTATTTATTTTTATTTATATTAATTTTTTAATTGTCGAACCGCCTTTGGCGGGTGGGTTTCATCAGCCATGGACGAACCATGAAACTTTAAATTTGGTGGGTCGTTTGAATTTGTTAGGCAGTTTTGAATCAGCAGATTGAGCGGATTTAGGTGGGTTCCAACATCTCTAACGGCTGTCTCTGTACCTAGTTTGGTATTTTCTTTTTGAGTCAGTGGTTGTTGTGTTGAATTTTGTGTGTTGTGCAACTAATAAGTGCGACTATATTCCATTATACTAATTCAATGTTATATATGTTTCTTGGCACGAATACCTTTTAACTTAGATTAACAAAATTTCAACATTTTTGTTTATGTAAACTCAATTAAATAAGGCCCTAGAAACAACATTTATCAACAATAAAACACTCCTAGTCTGTTGTTTGATTGTGTTTTTATTTTCAGTTTTATGTTTTTCAACAATACAGAAGAGGAACAAAAATAACAAAGGGTTTGCCTTCTTCACAACCCAAAAAAGCATGGTTCCAATGAACTCAAGAAAGCAGAGTTGAACTGTCCTAGAAGACAAAGCATGGTTCTAATGGATCATCTGCCAATCCTTGGAGAAACCGTGGAATCGAAGGCATACCCACCTCTAAAACTCCCTCTAGAATTTGGACTACCTATCCCATACTTGGCCTATCCTTCTCATCATCTTGAATGCACCAACAAGCAACTTTGCAAGCTCTAATCACCTTTTCAACATCACCATTGCCTTGCAACCTGTAATCCAACAAGCTCATGACTAATTCCTTGCTTTCGTTCATTTTCGTTGCCACTAAAAATGGAAAGTACCGATCCATTTCATCATCTACCATGTCACTGTTTCTCCTTTCTGATATAATCTCAAATAACAGCATTCCATAGCTAAAAACATCGGCTTTTGGCGTGATTGCTTCACCTGATATCCATTTTGGTGCAAGATAGCCTCGTGTTCCTCTTGTTGTTGTCAAAACCCGACTAATCTCTCTCCCAACAAGCTTAGCAAGCCCGAAATCAGCCACTTTTGGGTTGTATTCAGCATCCAGTAAAATGTTTTCAGGCTTAATATCACAATGTATGATGCAATCTCTGCATTTCTCTTGGAGGTAAGTCAATCCTCTAGCAGTCCCAACTGAGATGTTGTACCTTGTTTTCCAGTCTAAGATATTAATGTTGTCTTTTTTAAACAAGTGAGACTCTAGAGAACCATTTGACATGTAATCATAAACTGAAAATCTTTTTGTACCTTGTATGTAGAAACCCCGAAGGCAAACAAGGTTGATGTGTTGGATCATCCCAATGGTGCTTACTTCTGCGCGAAACTGCTTCTCTCCTTGCTTCAAACTTTTTAGCATTTTTACTGCTACCACGATTGAATTGGGCAGTGTTCCTTTGAAAACTGTACCAAAACCACCTTCGCCAAGCTTTTCTGAGAAGTTCTTCGTTGCAATTCGTATGTCACGATACTTGAACACCGCCAAAGAATCATCAACTTTCTCCAAAGTACTAGCAGTGTCTCTCTGTCTCTTCCTCCAGAGGACTACCAAGACATTGCCAAAGAAACAGAAGAAACCACAAATTGCTCCAAAAACAATCAAAGAAGTGTTTCTCTTTGCCTTAGCCTTAGCTTCGGTTCCAACCAGCTGGGATGCTGCTACTCTAACATGAAGATCTCTTCCACTTTTATCATCTGATGAGAGTTGTCGTAGATTGAACAAACCACCTCCCCAAATCAAACAGCTATTGTCATAAGCATAAGCACTGCATGAACAATTTCTCAAGCAAGCTAATTCACATTCATCAATGTTTTGAACTGTTATCAACTCTGAATTCACAGGAAAATCGGTGTTTGGCACCATGGAAAATTTGTCATTTCCTCTGTTTTCACACTGTAGAGGAAGTTTCCTCACACACCCACATGAGTGATCCCCCAATTCCCAATTTGCTTGAGTCCTCGGTTCAAATCCTTCAATGCAAGTGTAAATCGGTACATTTTGGTTACAACTACTAAATGCACCACAAAAAGCATAGACTGTGCATTGTTGCGGTGGTTTCATCCAGAATGTACTCCACTGCGGGAAGTCCTTTCCCCAGACAAATTGTTTGAGTTGTCCAGTCACATCGAGCGCAAATCTAGTGAGAGTAGTAGGGTCACTGGCATCATATATGAAATAGCTCTCATTTGTATTGTTAACGTACGTGACATTTTTTATGTAATAGTCCAATTCTATCTCAGGAACAAGGCTAAAAACTTTTCCACTCCATATCCGACTAGTCCAATACAAGTTAGACACATTCCAAAGCAATATATGACTTGAATTTGGCTCCACCTCTAGAGAGAACAGACTTGGTGATGGATCTTCTGAATTTCTCCAAGAAGTAAGAGCTTGTTTTTCATTTTTGAGTTTATTGTATCCAACTTTCCCACCGGGAAGCCACGTGTCAGTTGGGTTAGTCGAAACTCTGCCATATCACATTAGAGGAATCTGATATATCTCTAACAATGAAATTTCCATTGTCAAGAAGCATGGCTATGGTTGAGTTGGATTAAATAGTGTACACATATTTCAAACAGGACCTATGGGTAATTTTCCCAAAAATAAATTATGAAAAGTGTAAATGGTAAAAAGTAAAATGAAAATAAAAAAAAAGAAAAAGAAAAAACTTTTTTGTATGAATTTGATTAGAATTAAAATTTTGTTAGAAAATAAGAATACTAATTATAAGTAACTAATTTTATAACAATTTTAAATTTTCTTGTATTTTCTTGTGTTTTTTTACAAGAAGCTGGAAGCTTAGTTACCATTCTATTATGAGTTGTACAAGAAAATTAATTTTCTTATAACTTCTATCACTTTCATGCTAAACAAATTTAGAATTTTTTTTTTTTTTTTTTTTTCATTTCTTCCACTTTCTACCATTTTTATCCTAACCAAATTGAGCCTTGTTGTCAGCCAGCATGACATGAAAGAATTCAGTATTCGTGGCCATTTTGGATTTTATCATTTTGACTCTAAATATATGTTGTAGAAGATATTTGTTTGCATGTTTATTGATGTTTCATTGCTACAAACCAATTGTTTGAACATTTTCAAGCTTTGTCCATTATGGCTATGCTCCATACCCCTACAACCCCACTCTCATAGCATTGTGAGAGAGAGGGGGAAAAAAAAATATGGTTACAAATCAATTGAGAATTGTGAAGGTCACAAAAAATTGGAGTCTCTAGTATTTTTCTGTCTATTATGTGTTTTAATTGCACAAGTTGGCTACATGATTGCAACATGTGGTGTCACGACCCACTCCCTGTACCTAAGAGTTAAGTATCGTGATGACCAGTAACTGAAGTTACCTCCGGTCAATTTTTGAACAAATTAATAAACGCGAGCGGAAGTAATATTCAAGTGAGGGTACCAAAATAATCATTGGAACTTCTATTTTTATTACAAAATTTATTGATAAAAAAGGCCGATATTTACATATAAACATATCATAAAAGTGCTGTGTGTGTCTATTTCGCAGTCCCATATCTAAGACTTTCCAAAAGCTATTTCTGAATTGCATTGTTTCATGAAAATTGATAAACAACAATAAGCACATGACAGAGTGAGAAATATTATGCTAATAGTATAAGGGACACAAAATAACCATGGATAGTTATGTAACTAAAATATTTAAGATAACTTAGTCTGAACAAATAATCATTTACATAGCAAAACTGAGATTATGTAAATAAATAACTATAACCACGGTACCGAACAGAACGGAGGTCACAGGAGTGACAGCCAGAACAAAGGTACGGATTCAAGAGGTGGCTCATACGGATTATAGAGGTGGCTCCCACAATAGTGTAGCACTTATCTCCACATAACACTTTATTCCGCACAGAACAGAGGTCCATAGATCCATGACAATAGAGGGCCACAAAGTGACCAAATAGAGGCCAATGGTTATTTAAGTCTCCCAAGACGTGGGACTCCCGTGGTGATACTTTCAAAACATAATTATTGATAAGGTCATAGTCAAATATTCTTTAAAATATAAACAAACATATCCGTGGATTTCATTTTAAGTAAACAGGGGTCGGAAAATAACCCATGTAATTGAAATATTAATATAATTTATAAAACATAACTTGTATAAAATAAATTATGATTAGTCAAAACATACGTAAAATATATTATGATAACTCAAGGTATAATATAATTCACTTTAACTTTAATACATCATTCTTTATTTCCACTATCAAAAACCTTCTTTATTTCCAATAGTCTCACCTTCTTCATCTGATAATTTGCGGCTAGTTTCCCTTCTCTGTTTGCTTTCTCTTTCTTTCTCTCTTCTTTCCTTTTTCTCTTCTACTCTTCTACAGGTTGATCAACTCCTCCCTATTTATAGCGAGGTAAAAGCCACATCCGGCCAACGCGTGGTAGCTCGAAGATTTGCTCAGGATTTATACTTATCAAAATAAATATTTAAGATAATTACACTTTAACCCAGTTTTTTAATATAACTATGTAAATAAATTAATTTCTAATTAAATTACACTCTATCGTATGCCAACAGAAAATTAATTATTTATTTTACTACAATATTCATTATTATTATTTTTATTAATTTGGCCTCAAATAACAATGCCTAATTAATCTCATATTTGATAATCTAATGCCAAATTAGATTATATATTTATTATTATTTATTTAATAATATATCATCACATACAATCATAATACTAGTATAAAATTTAATGAACAACTTAAATTTTCAAGTTGTTACATGTGGGCGTAATTGTTTAAAACGAAATCATGAAAA